CCCCAAAACCCCAAAACCCCAAAACCCCGTAAAGCTAAAGTATTGATTGCAAAAGGAGCTACTTTTTGAAATTAATGAATGAACATTTTTAATTTAATTTTCATCCATGAAATAATTTTAAATATTATAAAATAGCGACCTATTAATAATTAAAGTTCTCTATAATTTGCTAATAATTCAGATCTCTCACAATTAAATGACAGAATGCAAATAATCAATATTTGACGAGTTTTTACCAGCTAAATTTAAGTTCTTGAAAATAAACGATGAGATTAGGCAAAGATTTAGCAATAATACTCCATTGTTCAATGATTTATTCAAACTTAAATCAAAATAAAGGGATTTTAAGTCAGACATTTACAGAGTCTGTTTAAATTTTAATTATATAGTTCTTAGTAAGCTTGATGACCTAGAGATGTCTAACCCTCTCTATTACATTGATATTGAATTTTCTAGACTCATTAAAGAGGAGGATTAAAATGATTGCTTTACTTTAAAAAGAATAGGAAGAGATTACACCTTTGAATTACATTCAAGTGATGCTACAAATAAAAAATATATTATTGATTAATGGACAGAGGCTCTTAGTAGTATTACAATTCGAGAATTAGGCTGCTAATTTAATGTTATCAAATAAATTGGAAAGGGCTCTTATTCTAATGTATACAAAGTAGAGAAAGCAGATGAAAAAAAATAAATTTATGCTCTCAAAGTTCTACGCAAGTATTAATTCAAAGATTAGAGTATGAGAGAATAATTATTGAAAGAAATAAGAATTCAAAGAAATCTAAATTGTGGAAACATTATAAAAATACATCAAGTTCAAGAAGATGACAAGTATGTGTATCTAGTTCTAGATTATATAGAAGGAGGTACACTTCGAGATTTCCTACAAAAAGGCACATAATTTAATGAATAGCAAATCAGACAAATTACACTTCAAATATTATTGTCGGTTGATTATCTTCATCACAAAAAAATTATACATCGTGATCTAAAGCCTGAAAACATACTCTTAAGTTTTTAAGAAGATTAATAGAGACCAGATGCATTTCTAGCAGATTTCGGATTCGCTGTAACTCTTGATGATGAAAGCAGTATTCAAAATATATACGGTACACCAGGCTATGTTTCTCCAGAAGTTCTTCGAGGAGAGCCATACACCCATAAATCAGATATTTTTAGTCTCGGTGCCATTCTATTTAATATGGTTGCCGGAAGAAACTTATTTAGTGCAAAGAATGCTTAAGAAGCCCTTCTAAAAAATATTAAATGCAACATCGCTCCTCATATCTAGGACCTTAATTGCACTACTAGACTAAAGAATTTATTAGAAAAGTTGCTGAGTAAGGATCCTAACAAGAGAGTTTATGCTAGTTAAGCATTAAATCACGACTGGTTTTCTAAGGATTTAAAAGTCATTAGATACTCTTTGTTTATCAATGAAAATGAAGCAATAGATGAAGAATAAAAATCAATATCTACTGTTAAAAAACAAAATCCATTAATTAAACATAAGAGCCGAAGTTTTAGAAAAGAGAAACATAATACTTCTAAGCTTTAAGATCAAAATTTCCTTCATTTGACTCCATAATTAAATTAAAACTAATAATTGAAATAACTAAGAAATAATTCATCAAGCCTTAGGGATTTAACAAGTTCAATCACAAAATAAAAATTAACGTATAACCAAATAATGGATCATTATTTGAGCACATCTAATAATCTGAATCAATTTTAATAAACACTTAATTAAGTCGATAAGAGTAAAAGTCACATGAAAGTATATTAAAATGAATCCTCTTAGATGATCATCAATTAAAAAGCATCATTATACGGTGAAAATAAGATAATATCAGATGAACAGCAACTGAAATCAATTTGTGATAAAAATTTTCCTCTTGGTAAAGGTAATTAAAAAATTAAATCCTAACTACTTTCTGAAAACAAAGTCCAGGCAGATTAAAATGTATCCTTTTAAATTATCCATCTTAAAGATGACTTTAAAATTGAGGATCAATATATGGAGAGTTATTATTCTATGGATTTTGAAGAGGGATTAACACAAGGCACATAGAAGATTATGGAGATTCAAGAGGAACTTGGCAAGTTGTGCATTAGAATGCATAAGTATGAGAGCAAGCCAGAAGTTTAGATGACATTAATTAATGTTAAGTAAGAGAGCAGAATATTAATTAACAATCAAAATTGAGCATTCGAAGTTAAAGTTTATAGCTGTATAAAATTTCTACACTAGTCTAAGCTTACTGGAGACCATTCTATAAATATAAATAACATACATTACTGTAAATTCATTAGATTTATCAAATTTAAATTCCTATTTCTTATCTGTGGGGTTTTGGGGTTTTGGGGTTTTGGGG